TCAAGAATGCCGAGATTGGAGACAGAGATACACTGACAGTTTTCTGATTATATATAATGTTACCTGCGAGCATCAACTATAAACTATCATTTATAAATGTCTTTATTTGTAAAGGACTTCTTTTTCTTTCTTTTTTCTTTTAAATCTGGTACTACCTTAATTTTACATTGATTATTAACTGGCCACACAGTGGAAAACTCAAGTTTCGCTATACTGCTGCATAAAGGCGGTCTCTAAGAAAGGCACAGAGAAAATAAACCTCATACCAGGACACTCCTGTACTGTTAACAGGCTGCTGCACCTCTGCCTTTACTATCTCTCAGTAGTAGAACTGGTCATTAGAGCCACTGCCACATCCAGCAAATCCCTTAGTGTTCCCAATTAGAAAATTAACAACCCATGAAATCCTTATGTCCTTTGGTCCAGTTGTTTGCTGGTTGGTTTTTTTGTTTTGTTTTGTTGTTTTTTTTCTCCAGTTAAATAGAACTACAGGGCCAAGGATGAAAGGACATAGTTCAAGCTTACCTGCCTTTGCAGAAGGGTTTCCAGCTCTGACTCGGGACAAGCTGGGTGCTCGGCTTAGGGTACCTCTGGGGAGATGAACTGGGCTGCTGCCCACTGAACTCAGCAGTGCTTCACACACCCCGGGGGGCTGGCGCACAGGGATCGAATGCACTACCCAGACTTCCCTACGGACAGTTCTGAACAACTAAGCAATTTTTAATAACAAATATAGCTAAAATACTAAAAAACCTGTGATGACAAAAAATGATAATCCAAGTAAAGGTCTGAACTGTGCATTGCTATAAATAACCTGAAGAGATCACAAGGAGCTCAGATTTGCTGGAAACCAGCTATCATTTTTGGTCATGCTATAATGGCTGAACTCATTAAAATCAGGCCAAATAAGTGCATTGCAGATAAACTCCAGCACCGGAAGCTAAAATCTGTGGTTAGATATAGTTTGAATTTGGATACCATTAAACTTGGGAGGAGAAGAAACTAAAGAGTAGCTTTACAAAAAGACAGCGGCCCTTTTCAAAATTGTACCCTACAGTCTTTTTATTTAACAGTATAAAACAAAAGATAATAAAGAAAGGAGTGATTTCCTTATGCTTGAGCTATGAAAACATATTCCCAGCCTGTGACAGCAGCCAGAAGCAGTTGCATTTACGGGTCTTAATAAATTTTCAGTGCAAAGTTATTCTGGCTTCATCGTATTGATCCATCTCAGTACATTAGTAATGCACAGAAAAAAATGATGATGAAAAAACTACAGTCAAACTTTAGTCCACAAGCCATTCAAAAGAATGTTTTCCTTCAGTACTACACACAGATATACACATTGTTTCAGGTGCTTCATATTTCATGGCAAGAAGTTATTAGTCAAATTCTTGTAGGCTTTAAAATCAGAGCAAAATGGTTTTCAACAAAATATTTCTAAAGAGAAACTACAATGATTAATAGCATGTTGACTAGCATGCCTTACCACTCTGGAAACACAGCACTGTGACTTCCGCAAAACTACCAAATCAAGTGATTATTTCTTAAATGAAAACTTGTTTCATCACAGTATTGTTATTAAAAGCATACATCATACATCATACGATACTACCTCTGAAAATGGGCTAAGCAGTTTAAATGCAAAGTACAACTTCTACAAATATCCCAGGCATTTTTATTATTAACTACAGGCATAACCCTGATGAATCTTTATACTTAAAATGAAAGATTCATTGATAAACCAAGAGCCTGCTAAATAGTAAAGTTAGTCCTGTATTTTTTAATAATTGCCCTAACGGCAGAAGCAAGCTATCTTGAACCTCCAAAATATTTCAATAGCACAGCTATTTACACATTTGGTTTAAATAGGATTGTGTATATATATCTCTATATAAAAAGATTAAGATACCTGGATTAGAAGTTACGTAGCCCTGTAAGTGTAGCAGAACCCTAAACAACAGCAAAAAATAACAATTCAGAAAAACACTAGTGGTCCAGCGGTAATCAATACCATCAATGCATTTGTAAAAGAACCTTGATTAGATAGCAGGTTTGTGTCACCACTCAACCTTACAGCTTCATCAGTTCATTGTTAAAATGTAGCTTTCAATCAAACAGATTTCTTAAAAGACTTCAAAAAATTCCTGGAAGGCAACAGGACCAACTTTGTCCCTCTAACCCTCCCCAAATTTCAAGAAAGGCATAGGATGGCCTATACGCACCTTATTGAATTTGTTATACTTGGAAAAATATTTACTAAAAAGGACGTTTTGATGGCTTTAACAAAAAAAGATGTGCAATAAACATGGTAAAGTCACACTAAGTTGACTATCCCATTTAAATGATAGGCAACTTAAATACATACAGGAATAAGACACCAAATTTTGAAGCGAATGGATATGCAAAAAGTTTAGATTTGTATGCATTTTTAGCTTGTTTTGTTGATGTCATTCAGCACAGTTCCAAGTCCACCAGCAGGGCAACAGAAACTGTTCGCATTATTTTTAGCAGTATCACCTCTTCTTTCAGATAGCTATCTGGGTCCATCGTCTCCCTTTAGCACCAAACTTGCCTTCCATTACCCTCCTTGTCTATTATCAATCGATCTACGCCCCAGTTGTAACCGCAGTTCCTGGAACCAAGACTGTGTGTCAATGAAAAGCAGAACGGGGCAAGTAAGGCTACAGCAATGTAAGTGCAAGAGGGAAACATCAACAGCAACAATAAAATCAAAACACATGTGATGAGTCCAGTCTTCTCTCAGTCTAGGTAGGAAGAGGGTCATCATCTCCTTTATTACATTTGCACTTGCAGCACAGAACAAATGGTGTAGCAAGTAGAAGGAAAGGGGAGGCCACCAAAAGTAGAAGACCAAATCCTGCAAAAATTCCTACCACCTGCAAGAGAAAGGAATAGCATTGCATTAGGAATAACAATTGTCTAGATTCTGCTGACATCCGTGCATCATCAGTGTCCTTCAAAAGGATCTCAGCAAGTGCCATTGACCTTACCAGAGCCCAGACTTCCCACCAAGTGTGTGCTACAGTCAGCTCCTGCGATCAGTAAACGTGAGTGAAATCAGAGAGCAAACACTCATGTTTCATTGCTCCAGTCAGAACCGTGCCCTGTCACACAACTCAGTTCCATTACACCAAGTGATGCAGATGGTTATTTGCTTTTTTGAGTTTTGCTATATCTCAAACAATTGATGAAGCAACTGATTGGATACTTTTTCTTGATCAAACCTAAATATTAAAAATCAGGATCAAGATTACATACGAGTTAGAGACTCCCACTTTCAGGTGCTTCCCTTTTTGCAGGAGAAATCTTCAAAAAGAATCAGTCAAGGTTTTGGTGTTGTTCACAGAGAAGCTGGGAAGACTCCCACAAACTTCCCACCAGCAGTAACACAAGGTTGGGAATCTCAGCCACAAATGATTACAAACACTATGGACAACAGGAGGACTTTGCGTATGCCAAATGATTCTTTGCAGTCAGACCTGAGCTTATTCTGCTGCTTCAGGGGACATGACCTAACTCTAAAAGCGTATTTTTTTTTCTTTTACATTTATTGATCATTCTCTTCCAGCACGGACAGAGGACCACTGCCATACCCATCCTGTCAGTGTGCCAAACTCAATTAGCTTCTACAGAGTTTAAATTTGGAGAATTATTTAAAGAACCTTCAAGTTGAGATTCATTGCCTGAGGAAGTTTCCCATTTGCCGTAGGCAACTGTAAGAGTAATGCTGCAACAACATGACTGCAAATTATTTGAGAAAATAATTTAGATTTATTCACATGAGAGTGTCTGTGAATAATTTTGAATAATGAAGGCAGGAGTGGAATGCTAATCTGCTAGCAAAACCTCACAACAGAAGGCAAAATGAAATTAGAGCGCAGTACTCATTAAAGAATTCATCTAGCCAGGGCTAGATATGCCGCTTCAATTAACTGGCAAATATTTAATTAGCCATGGTATAGCTAATGTGATGATTTACTAGTACTTTTTTCAGCCACGGACTAGTTCTCCTTCTGATCGCTACGCAACGCCGCTTGCAATCCCGGTACCGAGGGATTCCGAGGGGGCTGAGGGAAGGCCGGTTGCGGGAGATGGCGCTGTGGGACAGCAGTCACCGCCCGCCGCCTCCCACGCCAAGCTCGCTCAGTCCTGGATTTCGGCTGTCCGGGGATAAGGAGCTCAAACTTCCTTGCCCTAACAATTTTATTTCTTGCCAAGAGCAATTTCTTTTTCAGCTTCAGAGGTGTGCACGTTTCATTGCTCATTCTTTTTTTGGAGGTGCTGACAATCTGATGCAACTGCCATTTACTAATCTTTGCATTTATTTACTACAGACATAAGTCAAATTCTCATCTCCTTTAAAAACTACGAGCTCCAGCTATTGCCATCCTGCTCTTGGGTGGCAGCACACCCTTGCCTAGCTCTCCGCAGCCCAGGCTAAGAGTGTACTGGTCAGACAGAGCCAAGCTGAAAGTTAGCAATTCAGTGGACCAGACTGACTACTGGTAATTTTTATGAGATAACTGTTTACACTTTTCTTTCTGCCTCAATATGTCATCAAAGAATTCATTAAGTTTCATTTTGTTTGGGGTTTTTTGTTTGTTATTTTGGGGGGTTTTTGTGTGGCTTTTGTTTGTTTTTTAAACAAAACTGCCGGCTGAGTGTTACTTACTCACTTCCCACTTGGTTCTGTTGCTGCTGAAGAAGTTGCTGCCCTACTCAGCATCAAGTCATTCCCTCTGGCCAAAACAAATATTGTTTTTTAAATCCACAAAGAACAAACACAAGGCTCATCTCAATTTGCCTTGGATACATACTGAAAGGAACTTAACATAGGGAAATGATTGCAATGTTGATTTGGCTTTTGGGGGTTTAGCAGAATTATATCCTAATTGGTGGAGAATTATCACTCTCTTTCTCAACAACGACCAGAACATCAAACATACTGTCTGTCAAACATATTTGCACTAACTGCTGTGGCTAAGAACAGATTCCAAATATCAGATTAATCACCTCATATTACAGGTCTATCAAGAAAGCTTATGTACCCACACACTTCTAAGATACCATTGGCTAAGCCAAGCAAAACCCAGTCCATAGCTCAGGCACCCAGGGGTGTATGTGGAGGGAGAAGGGTGCGGTCCTGCTCCTTTTATTTCAGTTTAGCTGTTTGTCCAGACTTGGGGTTTATTCTCTAGACTTGGAGTTTATGATGAAATGGAAAGAAATCTGTACTTCATGAAAAAGACTTCATCTCAAGCTAAGGTAGATATTTACTGGCACACAGTTAATTTAGGAAGAGATGACTCAGATACCCAGATGTCTCTGTATCTCTGAAGTGACTGTAAAGGCAGTAGATTGGACTAAGTCACACACTAGCATTTATTTTGTATGCATTGAAGTAGTGCGGAGAGCTCTTCCATTACCAGCATTCATGCTGGGTCCAGCAAGACGGGATCTAGACTACAAGAGGTATCCCCACACTCTTTGTAATTGTCAATTCGAATCTGTTTCGCACTACTGAGAAGCTCACTAGGTTACCTTCTACCCAGCCTACATGAAGGAGTCAACTGGAGTCTGTAGCAAGATACTGAGCATACTCAGGCTAGTTCCTTTCCAGTTCTGGATCCAGAGCTAAAGACCCCTTGCAGGATGAGCTTCCCTGTTAATAGTATGGATGGTGGCAACCTAGTTTGTCCTCCAGATTTACTGAGAACATATCCTGATTGGCACTGAACTGGCTGTGAAATGCACCCTTTCTAGTTCTCAGTGGCTTTCTGACAAGGAGTGTCCTCTCTGGGAGAGCTAACTGGTCCTCTCAAAGGTACTGCCCTCTTTAAATCTGCTATGAAAATCAGTTACCATTTGGGCCAGAATTTTACCCTAAGGTGATAAAATGAGAAGGCAAAGGAAGGCACTATGACTGTACAGAGCTTTTAAAGACCTGAGCTTTACCTGTGTTCTGTGCCAGATAACAGACGCCCTGGAGTGTCCCAGCTTGTTTCGACACGGTCCTTTGTCGTAATGTATAAGGAGAAAATCATCCTACAAAATATTATATTTAAAGGTAGTTAATAAACAGATGTACACACTGTTCAGCAAGTTACAAAACACTATTTCCTGAGAACTTATAATCAGGAATTGTACAGGAAGATAAAAGCTTAGTAAAGTGGATATGACCAGGTCCAGCCTTTCCAAAGTGCTTTGTTTACAGTTAAGCATCTTCACGAACAGGTTTGTTTAACAAGTGTTGTATATCTATAATGAATTCTTCTCCCAAGGGTTCTCAAGCTGCATATTTAAATGCTAGTATGGAGTTTAGCAAGAGGATCCGAGAAGATAAGCCACTCATTGCATATATTTTAGACACATACAGAAAGAGCAAAGTGAATGCCTCTATCGCAGACTTTCCAAATTTGGCTCCTTTTACTAGCTGAAGAATAAAAGGACAATACAGATTTTTTAAGAAATTATTTCCCCATCTGTCCTGCCATCCTTTCACAAACCAGCCAAGATAGCAGGGCTAGTTCCAAGGGAACACTGCTTTTTAACTGAGCACGTGAGAAGCCTGTGGCTTAAGAACTGTTAGTAAAGCATTCAAATGGGACAACCACAGGATTTGAACAGTCAGAGTAGTTTTCGGGAACCTAAAACATTTCCTTTGCTATTGTTAACGATGCTATAAAGTAAAATGGGACATGGAAACAGATGTTGTGTATTGTATATACTCTGATCCTTGGGCATGATAACAGGCTGACTTAAAAAAAAACAAACATAAACATATGACAGCAGCAGCTTATAGACTGACAAATTCCTGGTGTTAGGAGAACATTGTATTCCTTTTCATATGTCAGATCTATTTCTTGTCCCACAGGATACAATGAATGGTAAACAAATCTGACTGCTAGACTCCTGCATGGTGATGCACCAAACCTAAAATTTGTCTGATAAACTTCCACAGTCTGAGTTACTCATCCTGTAACTACTTCAAAAAAGGGAACATTGAGAAGTAGTCAGTACTAAATGAAGTATTATTTAAAAAAAAAAAAAAAGCAAAAAACCCCCACCCAACCCCATGTTAGTTACCATGTAAAAACTGCAACAGAATTTTCATAATATTTTACTTTATAATGATTATTTCCTGTCTCACATAGGTGAAATGTTAAGATCACAAAGGTCAGACAAGTAAAACAGAGCGTACAAATCCTATCAAATTACCAGCATCAGCTTTGATGGGTTGTCGTCCACCAAGCTGGGCAGAAGCTAGTGAGCTACTATTTAATTGATTAATGAGAGAGCTGGGTGGGAAAGCAATGAACTTCTAAGCTTCTGAGAACCAGAGTGCATGGCATGTACTCACATCAAGAGATTCCAGACAGTACCAGCAAAAGGCATGTTTGCAGTTCTTACACATCATTTGGGCACAGCCTTCATCTCGTTCAATGTAAACTTTGCACTTTGGACAGCGTTTGATTGGAGCATCATCTTCTTCCATTTTAAAAACTGAACTATGGGAGATAGTAAGGAATTAATAAGATGTGTGGCCATGTAGAAGAGAAGAACTTCTAAGAACTGTGCTAAGAACGTAAGCCTACCTTTTTATTAAAAAAAAAAAAAAAAAAGAAGAAAAAAAAAGATGAATTAGTAGAGATCCAGGTATTCAAATGAGTTTTATTATTCAGGTATTTTGGCTGTATTCTATTTTTCAAACATATCTCTAGAAAAAATGTTTAACGACCACAGTGTCTACATAAGAGTCAGCACATTTTCTTTACCACGTATTTTACCAACTGTTTTTATTATCTAGGGATACTAATAGATATTATACATTTTCCTCCTGAAATATATCAGATGAGCAGCAGCTAGTTCACAGGTAAATATTTTGTATATCTAGATAATTTTTCTTCTTCTTTCTTTCTTCTTTCTCAGAAAAGAAGATGAAGCAATCCCTTGATGGTACAACAAGCCCAGACTACATTCCTTTGGACTGGGGAACCAGGAAGAGATTGGTCGTCTCTGCCATCTTTGAGGATCTTCCCTAAGAATTTCCCTCCAAATCAAGTACCAACAAGTCATGGTTTGTGAGTTATGGTCAGCACTGCCTCTTCTTGTTTTGCATAACTGTGCAAACCCACAGGATATCCCCTCATATAGTGGGCACAACAGAGGAATGTGGAAACACTGGCAGAACATTTGTTTCCCTTGAGTATTGAGCTTTCCACCATATGCAGGCTTTGTGCATACTAACAAATAAAATGTCCCTTAACAAATGGCATTTCCTGCAGCCACTGCTAGTGGGGGATATAAGAACAACTGATGGGGAATGAACAGTTTGCTGGAAAACAGGACTGACGCTTGATTGATTGATTGATTGACCTAATGGCAGGATAAAAGGACACACACTTGTTAGTCACACTAGGGGCAAGCCTATTACCGAAAAATCCTTTGAATCCAAAAACTGTATAGGAAACTAAAACACATGGGAGCACAAACTGCTACCGGCACATTATGCTCCAAAATAATGAAAAACACAAACCTTAGTGGAGTAAAGACTGAAGCATGAAATAAAAACTAAAAGCAATCAAAACACTAAGGAAAATAGATTCAGTTTTTTACCTTGCCATGAAGTTTAGTAAGCTTCAGTTCTGGTCAAGCACACACAAAAAACAGGTGCAAGAGAATATTTGACTAACAACTCATTTCTATAAATATATCAACAACAAAAGCAGAGCTAAGGAGAATCTCCACCCTTTATTGGATGTGGGGGGAAACATAGTGACAAAGGATGAGGAAAAGGCTGAGGTACTTAATACCTTCTTTGCCTCAGTCTTTAACAGTAAGACCAACAGTCCTCTGGGTACCCAGCCCCTGAGCTGGAAGACAGGGACAGGGAGTAGAATGAAGCCCCCATAATCCAAGGAGAAATGGTTAAGGACCTGCTATACCACTTAAACACACATAAGTCTATGAGGCCAGATGAGATCCACCTAAGGGTACTGAGGGAGCTGGCAGAAGTGCTCACCAAGCCACTTTCCATCCTATATCAGCACTCGTGGCTAACCAGGGAGGTCCCAGTTGACTGGAGGTTAGCAAATGTGATGCACGTCGACAGGCAGGGCCAGAAGGAGGATCCGGGGACCTACAGGCCTGTCAGTCTGACCTTGCTGCCAGGAAAGGTTATGGAGCAGATCATCCTGAGTGCCATCACATGGCATGTACAAGACAACCAGGTGACCAGGCCCAGTCAGCATGAGTTTATGAAAGACAGGTCCTGCTTGACTAACCTGATCTCCTTCTATGTCAAGATGACCTGCTAGTGGATGAGGGAAAGGCTGCATCAAAAGAAGTGTGACCAGCAGGTCAAGGGAGGTGATTCTCCTCCTCTACTCTGTTCTCATGAGACCTCAGCTGGAGCACTGTGTCCAGCTCTGGCGCCCCAAACATAAGAATGAAGCTGTTGGAGCGAGTCCAGAGGAGGGCCACCAAGATGATCAGAGGGCTGGAGCACCTCTCCTCTGAAGACAGGCTGAGAGAGTTGGGGTTGTTCAACCTGGAGAAGAGAAAGCTCCAGGGAGACCTTATAGCAGCCTTCGAGTACCTGAAGGGGGCCTACAGGAAAGCTGGAGAGGGACTGTTTACAAGGGCATGCAGTGATAGGACAAGGGGTAATGGGTTTAAACTGAAGGAGGGTCGATTTAGATTAGATATTAGGAAGAAATTCTTCCCTGTGAGGGTGGTGAGGCACTGGAACAGGTTGCCCAGAGAAGCTGTAGATGCCCCATCCCCGGAAGCATTCAAGGCCAGGTTGTATGGGGCTTTGGGCAGCCTGGTCTAGTGGAGGGTGTCCCTGCCCATGGCAGGGGGGGTGGAACTAGACGGTCTTTAAGGCTACTTGCAAACCAAACCCTTCTATGATTCTATGTTGTTTACTTGGACTTTAGTAAAGCCTTTGACACCATTTCCCACAGCATTCTCCGGGAAAAACTGGCTGCTCATGCCTTGAACGGGCATGCTCTTTGCTGGGTAAAAAACTGGCTGGATGGCCAGGCCCAAAGAGTTGTGGTGAATGGAGTTACATCCAGTTGGCAACTGGTCACAAGTGGTGTTCCCCAGGGCTCAGTACTGGGACCAGTTCTCTTCAATGTCTTTATCAATTACCTGGATGAGGGGATCGAGTGCACCCTTGGGAAGTTAGCAAGCCACCACGTTGGGTGGGAGTGTTGATCTGCTTGAGAGTAGGAAGGCTCTGCGGGCTGGATTGATGGGCCAAGGCCAACTCTATGACGGTCAACAAGGCCAAGTGCCAAGTCCTGCACTTGGGTCACAACAACCCCAGGCAATGCTACAGACTTGGGGCAGAGTGGCTGGAAAGCTGCCTGGCAGAAAAGGACCTAGGGGTGTTGGTCAACAGCCAGCTGTTGTGAGCCAGCGGTGTGCCAGCGGTGTGCCCAGATGGCCAAGAAGGCCAACAGCATCCTGGCTTGTATCAGAAATAGTGTGGCCAGCAGAACCAGGGAAGTGATCATCCCCCTGTACTCGGCACTGGTGATACCACACCTCAAATACTGGGTTCAGTTTTGGGCCCCTCACTACAAGAAAGACATTGAGGTGCTGGAGCATGTCCAGAGAAGGACAATGAAGCTGGTGAAGGGTCTGGAGCACAAGTCTTATGAGGAACAGCTGAGGGAACTGGGGTTGTTTAGCCTGGAGAAGAGGAGGCTGC